GGCGGCGGCGCAGGACACCCTTTATCCTGCTGCGGACGACCCGCTTCCCTTCTTGGCGGTGGCGCTTCAGCCACCGCAGACCCGTGTCCCTGAGTCGACTCTCGGCCAGCTGCACCGCCTGGCCGAGAGTCTTCACGCTCTGCTGCTGATCCAGGTGTTGGCTCACGCATCTCTCCCCGCGATCCCTCCTGACTCGTTTCGTGACAGGCAGCGCGAGACCTGTCTGGACGCGGCGGACCAGCTCGCGCAGCTGCTGGCGCCCGCGTTGGCTGCGCCCGCGGAGGGTGGCGCAGCGGCTGTGGGACAGCTTGACGAAGCTGTCCGGGGCTGACGGCGTCACTTGCGCGCTGGGTCTGGAGCCGCGGCGATCGGCGCAAGTACGCTGGTGGTCCGCGAGCTATGGCGGACGTTGACGGGCATCCTCCATGCCCTTGGAGCTCACCGGATGTAGATCCGGGCTCCCCATGCCCCGTAGATGCCATCGTTGCTCAGGCTTTTGTTGTAGCCGCCATTGCGTGTATGCCCTTGCTTTATAGTCGCTGGTATGTGTGTACCCTTGCCGTTCCCTCGCGCGCGGCCAAAGGCCGCGCTGTCGAGCGTCGGCCGCCGAAGGCGGCCGGCGCGAGCCGCTGGGTTAGAAGAAATGAACCCCCAGCTGAATAATGAGCCACCAAACCAGGCCCAAGGCCTTATATACTAGGGGAAGGGGCGGCTGAGAGGCTGAGAGGCTAAGGGACTAGGGGACTATGCCTCTCTCTCTCTCTCTCTCTCTCTCTCTCTCTCTCTCTCTCTCTCTCTCTCTCTCTCTCTCTCTCTCTCTCTCTCTCTCTCTCTCTCAAGCAGTCCTTCATTGATTATAACCAAGGTACAGCAAGGCAAATATAGATACTAGTAGCCGAAGGTACTGCATAGTATCAGTCGCCAGTGTTAGAGATTAAGGATCGAGTCTATGAAGAATAGGTGCCCAAATAACTCAAAATCGTTGGCTTAGAATTCTGGACAGAAACCGCGATTTCACAAGAAACGCCGTCGACGAAAATTGCACGGTTAGAATTCCGTCACACTCGATTATGTTGTAGCTCTAGACCGTGGCTACAATTCCCAATTTGAATCACCTCAAACGATGGAGTATATCTCGAGTTATGCTTTTCGGCGCACTAGAGGGTGTGCTGCCACAGAAACTTTAACTCAATCACAATGGTTCTCACAAGTTTCACAAAGTTCCACAAAGAACATTAGAGTAGCACTAAACCAGGTGGGAGGGAAGAGGAGGACGAGAGGGAAGGTCCCAAGGGAGTCCCCAACCAAGGAAACCCCATATCACATCAAATCCCCTCCCTATGGCAACCCCACTTTGACATTTGTCACTTTCCAACCCATGCCATCCACCTCAACCCACTTGGCCACACTTGCCAACCTGATTTGGCTTCACCCAACCACATGGCAGCAATCTACAGTGATGGGTTCGAATTCCCAACCCCCAAAAGTCTATACCCCTTATGGAGCAAACCCCACAACTTCCAAAGTCGCCGCAACCAAAGTACAGAAAGCATACGAACTCCAACGTTCGTAACTTTCTTGATATTGCTCCGATCGCGACGATTCTTGGTTCGTCGGAAAGCTCTCGAGCAGAGCAATCACTTCAGATATCTGGTCAAGACAAATAACATTCACACACACTCAGAAAATCCAAACCGCGCATATCACAAATTCTTGCACACGCTCACACCACGCATGCAATGCACGAACACATGATGGGAGGCAGACAGACGTGATTGCGAATGATAGCATCACACAACAGCCAGCGCCCCGTAGGTCTCAGCTGCCAGGCCGAAGCACCCCACATAGTCAGGCCGGCCGTCATACAGGCGGTGCTTCTTCTCGGAAGCTTCCCTGGCAGCCCACCCTGGCGGCTTCCGCACCCTTGGGTCCCGCTTCTGCAGTACTGGGTCTGTCACCGTTACGTCCGTGACCCACGTCTCTGCCGACTCCCTATCCTGGAACGCGAGATCTGCCCTCTTGCGGTGGACTGGGGGTGAGAACGTCGATGTCTCGTGGAAGGTGTTGAAGCCCGCCTCCCTCGCCAACCTTAGAGCCGTGTAGAGCAGGGCGTTATGTGTCCGCACTACATCCCCCCCTTCCCCGCACCGGAGCAAGTGATTCGCCAAACTTGTGTCCTTGATCTCCGAGTTGTCACGTTTGCAGGGACACTTGACCGTGACTGGTAGGGCCATCCCGAGGCGGAACCCGAGTGCCAACGAGAACTGACCAGGGGCAAATGTAAGGTCAGATCTCGTCGGCACTGCGTGTAGCCAATCCCCAGCCCCCACTCCCCTCAGACTGACCAGCCGGATCCCGTGCCCCTGGTCTTCCCCCGGTCTGTCAACCATCGTGTCAGCTAGCAGCTCCCTGGCTCGCACCACGTTGATGTGCTTGGCAGAGGATGCCATAGCATAGTTTTTGGGTCGGTAGCTTTCACGCATCTTTATCATTATAAATATGCATCATGGTTCGTCGGTGATAGGTAAGCATCATTCATGCCAAACATAAAGCATGCATTTATCATTCATCATATCATATTTACACAATGTCATATTTCATCAATAACATTATATCTATCTACATTCACCCATCATCATATTCATCTATTAATATTATGTGCATATTATATGATAATAAATCTTAACACAATAAATCATAAAAACAACGTAGTTGTTAAAAAAAAAAGCTATCATCGTATGAGTGTAATTGAACTAGATAGGACCCTCACAGTTTACATAGCAACAATTAGTGTATCCAATTTTTCTATTTTCATATTTTATTTTGAATAAATAAAAATATAATATGAAAATGTGAAAAAATGGCCAAATCGATTGTAATAAGTTGCGAAGAGATGCACATGGCTATGCCTTGCCTCGCAATCGTCCGTGTCCGGTAGGATGCTGTTAGAGTTATATAACGAGTGATCGAAATGTTTAGTTCGCGGAGCATCCGTTAAGCGTAGCACATGATGGCGGATTGGTTGAGATAGTCTCCCATATATCCTAGCGCCATTTTCATTTGGATATGTTATTCTTCTTGACTTGGGCGATAATGACAAGCCTCATGCACAATGGCACAACTAGGTTGAAATTAGATTCTGGCAACAGCAAGGATGAAATGAGCCATGTGTGGGAAGGGGGAAGTGAGTGGTCAAAAGGAGGGCAAATCTGCCCCGGTATTGAACGAGTGTGGCATTGTACATATAATGGTTTCAAGTTTCGGTTGCTGAAATGTGTAACATGCTGACACCACACACAAGCCCTCCCACCAGCAAGTGGGCATCAAGCACAGCTCGCGTGACATCCAAACCATGATAACATATATCACATACCAAAGATGGCATATGATTGTACCAGAAAACCACGAAGCTCTATGGCACATACTAGTGTGGCAAAGTGTGGTTTCCAACCATGGTCGGGGTACCCCCCTATGCAACATAAGTGAACTAAGCCACTTTTTTATGTGGCGCGGGACGTACCAACTGTGTTTTTGAAGCAAGAAAACGAACATAGCAAGCAGCAACGGGCTGGTGTAGGTCGCTTCTTGGGTTTGGGTGCAGTAGACCAAGTCGTGCTGCCCTAGCATCCAGGCGAAAATATGAGGTCAGTTGTCATAATCGGGCTGCTGCCTTTAGGCTCAACCCAAAATGGTGCTGGAGGTTCTGGTCAAGATGCGTTGGCGCTGCGCACGTGTGTTCTCACTTCATTCCTCATCGTCAGCACCATCAACACCCACATTTCATTCATAAACCAGAAGGGTACAAACATGCATGTTGGGGGCATTGTTCCTCACACGTCGGCAGCGAGAATGGTCACCTGTCCAGTGATCTGCAGCAAGCCCCAACTCCTCAGACACCTGCCCCGGTTCATTGGGTGTCCCTTGCTGGCCTTGGTGGCAGCCTTATGGAAGACGCTCGACGCGCGTTGCGTCTAGCGTGTAGACGCAGCATATAGACGCTAGATGCAAGACGCACTTTTAGACGGAAGACGCTTGGGAAAAAAAAATCGGGCAGCCCGGAAAAAAATTCCGCGCGCGCGAATTTGAAATTCGCCATTTCGACGCGAAATTCAATTCCGCGCCATTAGAACCCCTTCCCACACATTTTAACCGTATAAACCAGCCCCCTAAGCGAATTTGAATCCCCCCCAACCAAAATTGAACGCAAATCACACTTTCAACACTTGGTATCTAGAAAACCCAACCTCTATGGCTAACCACCAAGAGGTTGGGGAGCACAAATCCCTCATTTGTGCTCCCCAACATTCATTTCTTCCAATCCTTTTTCAAAATTCTTTAAGGTTCAACTATTTCCACCTCGCAACCATGTTTTTTTTTTTTTTGGCCGTCGGCGAGGGTTCTTCCGCTCGTTTTTTGGGTGAAATGGGGGGATTGACAAGAAGTCGAAGCTTTTCGAGCACCCGATCCACAAGCACTACTATTTTTTAATGGATCCTAAGAAAAAGGGCGAGCAAGTAGAGTGTCTTTCGTGCCACAAGAAGTTTTCGTTTAGTAGTAGCCGGTGTCCCGAGCATCTCGCCGAATGGAACGACCCCCAGCGGCCACGAGAGGCGGGAGTCGTTTGCTATGATGTGCCAAAGGAAATTTTCTATGAAGCGAGATGTTCGAAGCGAAGATTCGGGTGCGCAATCAAAAGGCGCGGGCGACAAATGCGGCGATCGCGGCGGTGAGCGGCAAGAGTGCGGCGAAAGGGAAGGGGGGGCGCTGGCGCATGGAGGACATTTACGGCGAGGGTAGGGTCGCGGCAAGGCAGGCAGCCGACGAGGCGATTGTCCTCTACCTCGCTAGCACATCGGAGTCTCAGTGCGAGCACCCACTCTTCCTCAACATGCTGCGAGCTGTCACCGCCGTCGGCCCGAACTACGTCCCCCCCAAGCGGCACTACGTCGGAGGCACCGGCCTGCTTGAATGCAAGCAAAGGAAAGGGGGAGCACGGGCACATGCAGGACTTTTACGGCGAGGGTAGGGTCGCGGCAAGGCGAGCGGCCGACGAGGCGATTGTCCTCTACCTCGCCGGGACGTGCACATCGGAGTCTCAGTGCGAGCACCCACTCTTCCTCAACATGCTGCGAGCTGTCACCGCTGCCGACCCGAACTACGTCCCCCCCAAGCGGCACTACGTCGGAGGCACCGGCCTGCTTGAATGCAAGCAGCGGATTGAGAAGGAGCTGTCGCCGATTACGAAGTCGTGGAGGGAGACGGGCGTGACGATTGTCAGCGACATAATGCAAGACAAGGGCGGTCGCGCGCAGATGAACATCATCTGCATCAACAACACTGGAGAGGCCTTCGTTAAGGCGGTCGACTGCGAGCCAGCGACGAAGAGTGGCGTATTCATCGCCGGCGTCCTGCGGCCAATCATTGAGCGCATCGAGGCAGAGCACGTTGTGGCGCTGTGCACAGATGGCGTCAGCAACTACCAAGCTGCTGGCAAGCTGCTGCAGAAGGAGTGGCCGCATCTCGACCTCGTTCCCTGTGCCACGCATGTGCTGGACCTGCTGATGGAGGACATCGGCAAGATGGACTGGGCGCAGGCGGTCGTGACCCAGGCTGATAACATGATCTTCTTCGTGCGCGCCCACCAGTGGGCGCGCGCCTTCATGCGGAGCCCGGAGCTGCACGACGAGGAGAAATCGCTGCATGTGTTGCGCCCGGCAGGCACCCGCTTTGGAACGCAGATCATCGCAGTGTCTCGTTTGCGCGCTGTTTGCCAGCAGCTCACTGCGATGGTGACGCACAAGGACTGGGCGGAGAAGTGGGGGAACACGTTGATGGGAGCGGATTTTGAGGGGTGGGTGATGGACTCAGAGTGGTGGAAGAAGGTGGATGTCTTTGTGGTGTTCTACAATGCGATACGGAGGACGGATTCAGCGGCGAAGGGGATGATGGGCCAGCTTTATGGCATCATGCTGCAGCTGACGGAAGAGTTAGATATGCTGCTGGATGGAAGGAGTGCAAGCTGAGTGGGGCGGATCAGGAGAAGGTGCGGGAGCATTTGAGGAGGCGTTGGAACGAGAGCCTGGCTTGCCCCTTCCACGTGGCAGGCCGGACCTTGAAACCGGCCGACCAGGAGGAGGGGATCTTTCTGAAAAAGGCGATGTGCACCAAGGTCGTGCAAGAGTGGCTGGAGTGATAGAAGGCCTTTCGCTTCCCCGTGCGAGCGGAACTGGTCTAGGTGGGATGGCGTGCACACGGCGCGCAGGAACTGGCTCAGGTCGGAGAAAATATGCGACCTTGCGTACGTGCACAACTGGAATGTTGTGCGCAACTTCCACAAGGATGCGGGTGACGTGAGGCCTAGTGTGGTGGGAAGGAAGGGTGCGGTTGTGGAGGGGAGCATTCCCCCCCCTCCCCTCCCCGAGGGGTACAAGTTGGAGGATGTGGAGGTGGAGGTGGACGAGGATGACGTGTGCCTCGATGAGTGGGAGAAGCAGGAGGAGTAGGAGAAGGAAGGAGGAGGAGGAGGAGGAGGAGGAGGAGGAGGAGGAGGAGGAGGAGGAGGAGGAAGAGGAGGAGGAGGAGGAGGAGGAGGAGGAGGAGAGCTAGGAGGCATAGTGATTGTAGAGAGATGTAGTGATAGTAATGTTTTTCGAGTTGGCCACTACTAGAGACATGGAATTCTAACTATATATGATGAGATGTGAAGATTTTTGTGAAGTCTAAAAATGGAAAAATCATATGGTACGGGGAGAAATTCACCCCATTGTGACATAGGTGCATGTCCCCCACCCTCCCCATGCCCCATAGAACTTTTTTTGGCTTGCCCAAACTTTTTTTAGGTCTGCCCAGGTTTTCGTCTAATAATGTGTCTAATCTATACTGTCTAGCGTCTAGCGTCTTAGACGCTTCGTCTGGACGGACGCATCTTCCGCAATTAAAGGTGACAACCCGCATCATGCACTGCTTGAAATGCACGCTAAAGCGTTGACTGATAAAGAACACCGGCGTTTTGGTTCCATTGCTCTCTCCAGCAAGGGTCGCATTGGTACCTTCCCTGCGTGCCCGCTTCTTTGAGCTACGTTCCGACCACCTTCGCTGCTCCTTGCTCTTGATGGTGGAGATGCCAGCTTGCCTTTCTGCATGTCCCCAATGTATCAGCATCAGGGCATGAGCGGCTGATTGTGTTCAATGGTAGTGCGCAACACACTTGCAATGTGCATTAATGGATGAAGAGGTGTGAGTAGTGTGAATCAACCAAGTGTGTGGCTGGAGTGGTGAAGATAAGCTCTGTGTGATGCAGGAGTGTGGTAATGAGGTGTGTGTGGGGCAGTAGTGGTGAAGATGAGCTGTGTGAGGGGCTGGGGTGGTGGTAATGAGTAGTGTGAGGGGCTGGAGTAGTGGATTCAAGTGTGTGTGTAACTGCAGTGGTAAACATGAGCTGGGTGTGGGGCTGGGATGGTGGTAATGAGATGTGTGTGGGGAAGGAGTGCTCGTAATGAGGCGTGTGTGGGGCAGTAGTGGTGGTAATGAGGTGTGTGTGGGGAAGAAGTGGTGGTAATGAGGTATGTGCGGGGGCACGAGTGGTGGTAATGAGGCGTGTGTGGGGTAGTAGTGGTGGTAATGAGGTGTGTGTGGGGCAGAAGTGGTGGTAATGAGGCGTGTGTGGGGCAGTAGTGGTGGTAATGAGGTGTGTGTGGGGTAGGAGTGGTGGTAATGAGGCGTGTGTGGGGCAAGACTGGTGGTAATGAGGTGTGTGTGAGTAGTAGTGGTGAAGATGAGCTGTGTGAGGGATTGAAGAGGTGGTAATGAGCTGTGTGAGGGGCTAGAGTGGTGGTAATGAGCTGTGTGTGGGGCAGTATTGGTGGTAATGAGGTGTGTGTGGGGCATTAGTGGTGGTAATGAGGTATATGTGGGGCAATAATGACGGTAATGAGGTGTGTGTGGGGCAGTAATGTCAAGAGCCTAAGTTGACTTAGGACTTAGGTTAAGGGTAGAACGAGAGTTACGAGAGGAAGGGGTCGAGAGATTTGCCAAAAAAGGTTGTTCACTATAGAGCAAACAGTACAAATAGGCAAGCAAAAGCAAGAATGGTGCACCACCAACTAGAAAGGCTATAACTACAGTACCCAATCCTACAGGCAGCTACATATAGAAAATAATAACATATATTTTCCGACAAGTAATGGTGTTAATGAGGTGTGTGTGGGGCAAGAGTGGTGGTGATGAGGTGTGTGTGGGGCAGTAATGGTGCTAATCTGGTGTGTGTGAGGCAATTGTGGTGGTAATGAGGTGTGTATGGGACAGTAATGGTGGTAATGAGGTGTGTGTGGGGCAGTAGTGGTAGTAATGCGGTGTCTAGCAGTAGTGGTGGTAATGAGGTGTGTGTGTGACAGTAGTGGTGAAGATGAGCCATGTGAGGGGCTGGAGTGGTGGTAATGAGGTGCGTGTGGGGCTGGAGCAGTGTTAATGAGTTGTGTGGGGGTTGGAGTGGTGATACTCAGCTCTATGAAGGGGCTGAACTGATGGTAATGAGCTGTGTGAGTGTAGAAATGGTGTGACCGATATGTGCGAGCAATTTGAGTAGGTGCTGGAGTGCTAATTGTACCTGTTTGATGGGCAGATGCGGGTAAGATATCTGCCACATGCCCCATGAAATCCGTCTCGGCGCGTGTACCATTATACGGAAGGGTGACCACCAATGACGCCTGAGATGACGGTCATAATCCATGCAAAGAGTGGATGTCATGTTGCCAAATTCTTCCACATCCGGCCTACAAACATCAATCGACACCGGTCCTTCTATCATCTCCACTGCAGCCCCTCCCTCTTCTGGCCCATCATATTGACGGCCCATGCCTCGACTATGTATTAGCGAAAGCATGACAGGTACGTCCACTCTGTTCGCCTCCTCATCATCATACTGTTCTTCTAATTCCTCCACACCTTGACTAGCCCCTTGCATGCTTGTTGCCCTCACAACCTGCTGTAACTCAGGATGTTCCCAATTTGCATCTACCGGGTCCACAAACCGGTACGCAATTCCGAGCTCAGGGAAAACGTCCTCGATCAATTTGTCTTTTCCATTAGACCCACCACCTTGCTTGGGGCCTTCTTCTGCAACCACCCTCTTAGCTGCATGACCGTATGCATACGCAGGTCCTTTACAACCTGTGCGATATCAATTTGAACCACGGCCCTCACACGATTTTGCAAGTCATTTTCAAAGCTCTTGACCACATATCGCCTTTTGTGCCACAAGTCGTGCTGGTGTCCAACTCCTCTGTCCGTAGCCACCGTCTTGAAGGTATTACCCAGGTTAACAATACCAGCCACTTCAAACCCGACATTTCCCAAAAAGTCCATGCCCAAATTGAAGGCAATGCTTTCTAGCCTAGGAGATGAAGGATCATTGACATACTTCTTTGCGGCCTTTGTATGCATAACTGTCCTACTCTCAGGATGCAGAAATGACACAGTGCACCACTCAGCCTCTCGAGCTTGTGAAAATCTACCATCTACGCTAATGTATCCCACCCTTCATGGCCTCTTAGACATGCTATCACGCACTAATGCTATAGTTTCTTGGGATGCACGAATGATGGCATTCCAAAACCCTTGACACCCATCAACAATCGGTAAAATGTTCCCTTTCCTGGATTTAGCAGTCCAAGATTATGACACATTTCCCACATCACTTGAAACCCTAACCCTCCTAGGGCAAACACACCCATAAACTTTTTGCATAAAGTTGTATAGACCTTGGCCCGGTCCGCTTCCCATTATGGTTGTTTTCCTTCTTTGGGTTTGTCCATATCTCCGTGCTGCTTGGGCACGTACTACAGTGTCAATAACGACAAGAGAAGCCCATGTAGTTTTCCATGACACAAGAGACATGCTCCCGCCTCAACCTTTTCTTGTTCAACAAATCTTAGTGGTGCTAATGCTTCTATAATGTGTGTTGGCTCCAAGAAACATAGCATGTACAAAGACATATCCGTGACGGCTAGAGCACGTGGCCACCTCTCGGGACTAGCACTGGAGTATTCTTGAGAGGCCCATCTTGATTACTACTCCTAGAGGTTGTAGCACATCCCAACAGCGTAGGGTAGTGGATAGAAAGTCATTATACCCACCACTTCATCTATGCCCACATCTGAAAGCAACCTCATGAACCCAATTCAATACACCCTTGCCCCACTCTCAAGTCAGTCACACCACTCCAGCACGCACACCCTCCAGTTCCTAGTCATTTACCCTACACCTACCAAGCACGGTGATCATTCACACCCACACCACACACAAGCCACCACCGTCAAGGCACAAGTCATGTACACCACACCAACCATGCACACATGTCAGTCACAATTCCATCGCCAATTTCACAACTCATTTGACCAACCCCATCCACACAAAGTCTCACCTTGGGCCTTAATCTAGTACCTCGTCATCATGGAGTACGACGTGCTCTTGGCTGCCTTCAGCTCTGGCAATCGGGCATGTCTCTGGCTGCAAGGGGGGAGCAACCCTCTCTGTTCTAGCTCTTGCTGGTTGGGCATCCTCTACACACACGCCATGTATCAAACTAAATAGAATATACACGCACTTAAAGTCTATGAGTACATGGAGATTCAACAATCAGTATGTCCACTCTATATATACCCACATCAGTATGTCCACTCCCAGATTGGTTCTCCCATGTACCTGCGGCTTTGGCTTCCCGCATCAACCTTATATAAGTGGTCGGGCCATATTTTATAGCACTTCCGAGGTTGTAGCCTCGCTCTTGCCCCCCATCAATGCCGACAACTGGCGGCACTGAAGGCATATGACTAGCCGCATATGCTTGGATATACTGTGAGTGAACTTGTTATGCTCGGCACTAAGCCTCACAATTGGATTGGCCTTATTTGCAGTTGTATCCTTTGTCTTCTTGCCAATTTAGGATGGTATGGAGTGGGGGGTGTGGAGATAACTACTTCAACGAGAGCAAGACTACGGGCTAGGCACGTGGCTTGAGTGATCTGTTTGTTCGTTCCTTCCTTAGTCATTTTCAAATGCTCACGCTACTTGCTAGGTCACGGGGAGGATTGGCAAGAGTTTCAAGAAGAACAGTTAACAACTATGGTAGAAAAAAAACATTGGCAAGAATGACTACATTAGAGCTAGAATGCTAGTGGATCGACTGCCAGCTCAGCACGGTCGGTCGCGTTCCAGCGCGGCATAGTTGACCGTGCTCCAACAGTGCAGAATCACGGCTTGCCAATGCTACAGGTCGACGGCATGCCAACATCGCAAGTAGACGGCGTGGTAACATTGCTCCAGTATGACAGCAGTGCATTCGCTTCGCAGGTGCTCGCACGTGATTGGCGTGCTGTGCCTTGTCACCACACAACGCATGCACCAAATCAACCTCGTGCTAACGAATGCATCTGATCACCCATGTCGACCTCGGGATACCACCACCGAGGTCGGCCTCGCCACGAACACCTGGGCGACCGTCGCGTGCCTCCGCAGAACCTCGTCACCCAGGTAACCTGGTCGACCGGGCAACCACCAAGTCGGCGTCGACTTGTGTAGCCAGTGTCGACCAGCTGATGTACGCGGCCCTCGACCACTCAGGTCGACGTCCTCTAGCCAACTTCACAAAGCCGGCAACTCCCCAAGTCGGCGCCCCCAAGTCGGCGCCGACTTCCAACTCGACCTCTTGAAGTTGGCGACCTCCTGAGGCCGGCGACCTCCTGAAGTCGACGAGCCCCATCGTCGACCACAAGTTAAAGTCGCTCGCTGGCTTCCCAAGTCGGTGGCATTGCTGTGGAACCATGCAGATCGACCAAACTCGTCGGCCAGCTCGCCCAAGTCGGCGTCGTCCACTGCTACAAGGCGGCTGCAATCACGTACACCCAACCCCAATGTCGGCTTTGCCCAAGCAAGGACGGGGCCAATACACATCTCTCGTTGACAGGGAGTGTGGCGTCATGGCATGTTTAGTACTCACGACGGGGCTATCAATGCCTGCATCTTTATAGTACGGGATCTGGTAGTGCAAACATTGTACCATACTATTGAAATGCCTGTTTGTGTGTGTGGGCAGCCTTGAGTGACCCAGCTGCTTATATAGCATGGTAGACACAGGCAATATTACTTCACTACTTATTGCGCGCATGTGAGGAGAGACGATTATACTCATATGTCGCTCTAAACTATGGAGTTCAAGTAATGTGCTGGATGGATGGTGCATTCCGCTACTTTCATAATGTTATGCAACGGGGCTACGTTTGTGCCCATTAAAGGTGGTCGTGGGCTTTTGCGTACCTTCGTGAAGCACCCTTGGGAGGTCGACATGCCATATTCCTGACCACCAGCGATATGGTGGCGTGTATCTGTTGTAAAGCGTATTCAGTTCACTTTGGTTTACGGGTCGTTATCCACTTGGTAATTTCAGTAGCTAAACGAGAGGCGATTTTTGCATGTTCGCGCTTGCTCTTCTTCGCCACTCCGATCCATACCATCCGCAATTAGGAAGCTGGTTGCTCCTAATCCGTATCTTGCCGTCCTTAAAATGTGTTTCTATATGTCGTGAAAGTCCGTTGCACGTTCTGTCTCGTAGGAGCAACAATTACGGCTGTCGTAAAACTAAACTTGAAAGATTTATCATATGGGGCCAATAAGTACTTGTTCGAGGCGCCTACTTTAGTTGGCTGCAACATGCGGTATCTAAAACTAGCGGGCCTCTAGGTTTGATGACAAAAATGCAGGTGTTGTGTGTGTGGCAGCGCAAGAGCTACGCAAGTGTTGTACTGTGCCGACCCTTGGCTTGTGCTTTTGAATTGCGTTGTGTAGCTACCAATGCAACAAATTCTATTGGCTGGTTTTCATTTGTTTGTTTTGGCAGTTCGCAGCACAATTCGTGAATTCGCTTACTGGGTGTGCCTACTTCGGCTCCCGCCTTTCATGTGCACACCCCTCGCCACCCGTTGAACCCCATGGTCAAGCTTTTAAAACTTGGGCAATTTGGGCTAGCGACTTTAAGCTCGCTCTAATCTCCTCACTGATATCCTCAACACCGTGTCCTCGAATAGGAATTTTTCCACAAGATAAGCCATGCGACTTATAGGGGTGACAAGATATTGCATGATGACTTATATACCTAGGGTTCAAAATTGTTTGTCCCCATGCCTTGCGATGCAAGCACCAGCATGGCCCGTCTAAGGTACATTAGTGGGTGAAGTTTGCGGTTGCTTCATGATATTTAAGGCATTGATGGGGGGGTGGGAGGGGGGTTTGGAGTGGGGAGGGGTGGGGATGATATACACATATTGTTGGCGAGGAAGCAGGGATTGACATAGTGCACCGACTGATGGACGGAGAGGTGAATATTCTAGAGACTGGTGTTGCAAGGGCCTGTGCTAGGATGAGGCCTTAGGGCAACTTTTGAAAAGGTGATAAAATGCCTTGATTTTTCATTGAAAAACTATATTGCGATCCTGAAGTTTCAGGGTACTTGTACCCCTTATTCTGATATATCAGGGCAAACAAATCACCAAGACCCTGATTAGTAGTGCAGCGTGCCAACGAGAGAACATGAACTCAGGGTGCATGCGATAAACGGTGTACAGTTTGGTTGGAACGCGAAGTTACCAGCCAGTATTTCCGGATGCACTGTTTATTACCATTTAGGCAAAAATGTTGACCATTTAAGTGTGCTGGTTACCATGGTGGCGATGAGAAGACATCTCTGTTATGATCTGGAAACGTGGCTTACTTCGCGTGCGATCGAGCTCAATGAGTGTTACTGCTGAGGTAATTACCCTAATTTTACAAAAGGAAATGTCAAACAAATTATAGTCCCCTAACCCAAAAATGCTACACGCCATAATGAATACCGTAGCGGAAGTCGATTCCACTTCTTGCTGCGTCCAGCGCTTCCGAAACGAGCCAGCTCGCTTCGCTGCGGCTAGTCAGGTCAGACTTTTGCCAGGGGCCCAACGGGCAACCTCCAGGCTCCAGTCCAGGGTCGGCCGACGGGAGAAACCAGGGTGTTCCCCAGGCGCACCGAAAATGAACCTCCTCCGCGCTCAGCTGCTGGTTTCGCTGGTGCCCGCCTGGGTCTTCCGCAGCCCTCCAACCCCCACCCGCAATTCTCCACGCCGCGTCACAATCTATTTCCGCCCGCTTCCACCGAAGTCCCTTCCCGCTTGCAGCTTCCCCGCCTGTCGCGAGCGGCCCGAATCCCCATGGCCTCCCGCCTGTCTTAGAGCGTTCCCGCCATCCCCATTCCCTCTACGGTACCCTCCCCCACCACTCTCTAGCTACCCTAACACAGTACATTCTCGAGATTCCCAATCTGGCATGGCTTGAATCAGAAATACTAGTTCCCTTCGGTACCACACTCTGATTCAGCTACTCTTAGCTCGCACTCTGCCGCAGCGCGCCTAGCTTCAGTATTTTTTGCTCCAAGCGGCCCGCTTTGCCGGGCGATCGGGGGTGGATCGCTGGGAGCGGCGATGAAGGCGGCATGGGGGAACATCACGGACGCCACCAAGGTGGCGGCGGCTCGGATGAACAGCGACTACAAGGTGCCGCTCCACGCGCACGCTTGTATCCGCAATTTTCTCAAAAGATTAAATCGCACGTCGCTTTTTCCATTGGCGGGTTACGAGTTTCATCAGCGAACTCGCAGCATCGCTGCGAGATCGCGATGCCCGTCGCTAGATCTCGTGCGATCTCTGGCGTTCCATTTTTTTGAGCCACTTTTCTTCGCCTCACTCGTGTGCGACGGGCCGTGCGATGCGATATGCCATCTGCCTAGCGGGCATGCCGCAGCCGCCGCCGTGTGATTCTCTTTATTCGCGGTTCAAGAAAATTCATGCGTGTTTCGGGTGGTGCTCGTCTGGTGTGCGCGTGGTTCGCGTGTGCTGCGCGCGTGCTGCGCGTGTGCTGCGCGTGTGCTGTGCTGGTTCGGCTGTGCGCAGGACCTGGACGTGGCGATCGTGAAGGCCACCAACCACGTGGAGTCGCCGCCAAAGGAGAAGCACGTGCGGAGTGAGTGTCCTGCCCCACCCCGCCGCACTTCCACCTCCTTGCATCGCGCTCGTCGTCGGGTGTGTGTCGAATATACCGCGCGTGCCCTGCATCCGTCCGCTCCGCGCTCCCTCCCGCACCGCGCACGTCGCGGCGCCTCAAATGGCGTTCAAAGCAGTGCTTCGTGCGGCGCCACTCTTGCTTGCGCTCCCTGTGCCCCGCCTTTGTTCTCGCGCGTCCCGTGCTGCGCCAAGGCCTGCGGAAGCGCCGTGCCTCGCGGTGGCTCGGTGCGCGATGCAGCGTAGCCACGGCAGGCCAGCGGACTTGCTCGCTCGCGGATAGGCGGCGCGGATGCGTCTGATCGCAGGGCCCGCGATGATCGCGATGACAGGCTCGTCCAGACGAGACGTCGAGGGAGTGCGGATCGATGCTCGCGGTGCAGCGGGCGGGCGCGGTGCACCCGGCAGTGCGCGCGCGCCGCACGTGACAGTCGCGGCTTCCTTTCCCGCCACTAGCAACCCTCCTCTGCCTCCCTTCACCCTCCCTCCTCAACTTATCTCTCTTCTCTCTTCTCCCGTTCACTTTCCTCTCCCCCTCCCATCCCTGCGCAGCGATCTTCGCGTACACGTCAGCGTCTCGGCCGCGAGCTGACGTGGCGTATACGATCCATCAGATAGGCAAGCGGTTGGGCAAGACGCACAACTGGTGTGTAAGTACCGACTCCTCGCCTCGCCGCCCTTGCCTTTCGTGCCTCTCGTTCCCCTCTCCCTCGCCATCCTTCCTTGGTCGTCTCACTGCCCCTATTCTCTCTGCTCCGTTTCCTTCCGCCAGCGTATCGACCCGCCTCTTTTTCACTGTTAAGTTTTTAAATATGGATACCCCATTTCTCCTTCTCTTGCTGCCCGCACTACCTCTCGTCCACCACTGATTTTCCTGCACCGGCTCTCTCTTGTCTTGTCTCTTTCTTGTGGGTGTGCGAGCGTGACGTGTGATACGGGCTATGGGGCATGGCGCATATTACGTGGAGAATGGCGCATGTCGCGTGGGTATCGGGCATGTCGCGTGGGTATGGGGCATGTCACGTGGGTATGGGGCATGGGGCATGAGGCATGCGCATGGGGTGGGGGGCGCGGGGCGTGGGAGATGCGACACGTGCATGTGGCGTCGTCTTGGGGCGTGGGGCGTGGCACGGCGTGCAGGTGGCGCTCAAGTGTCTGATGGTGATGCACCGCACGTTGAGGGAGGGCGACCCCACGTTCAGGGAGGAGCTCATCAACTACGAGCGCAGGGGGCGCACGCTCAACCTCTCCAACTTCAAGGACGAGTCCGGCCCTGCAGGCACGCCCCGCTCCGCCTCGCCCCTCCGCGCCCCGCCGCGCCCCGCTGCGCCCCGCCGCGCCCCCCTTGCATCTCGGCCCCCTCACAGCTCCCTCCCCCTCTCTTCCTGCCCACGCCTGCCTGCTTCGCGCGCACCGTTTTGGCTCTCTCTGCTTCTGAGCGTCATCTGCATTTCTCTCTTATTGCGCACTCTCCGTCACCCCCAGTCCCCATGCTGCCCTTGCCCTCGCCGCGACCTGCTGCTGCGTGCTTCCTGCATTCACTCGCCCCATGCCCATCCCATACCCATTTAATGCCCTCTCCAAGCCCGCTGCTTCTCGCGCACTAACGCGCGTGCCTCGCTACGCAGTGCCGTGCCTTCTCCTGCTTGTTCCCCACGCCCCTCTCCCCGCCGTTCCCCTTTTCCCCCCTCCCCCCTCCCCCCTGCCCCCCCCCCCCCCCCCTCCCCCCTCCCCTCCCCCCCACCCCGCCCCCCTGGCCGCGCTGATGGCAGCGTGGGACTACAGCGCGTGGGTGCGCACGTACGCGCTGTACCTGGAGGAGCGCCTCGAGTGCTTCCGCACGCTCAAATACGACGTCGAGGCCGAAAAGTCCTCGGTAGGCCGTGGGGGCACTGGGCGGCACACTGGCGGAAAGGGGTGGCAGGGGTGGGATGTGGAAGCAAGGGCAGCATGGGGAAGCATAGGGAGAGGGGGAATGCATGGGGATGAACGCATGCCGTTTGCTGTCCTGGTTGTATGTAATCCATGGATGTCGCCTCACTTGTCACCCATGGCCATCCCCCATGCCCATCCCCTCATGCCCATCACCTTATTTCCCCATGGCGTTGCTGTGGTGGCATGGCGTGCGTGTGCGTGTGCCTGCGGTGTGCGTGTGTGTGTGCGTGTGTGTGTGCGTGTGTGTGTGCGTGCGTGCGTGTGTGCATGAGAGCAGTCGCACAGTCGCACGAGGGAGCTGGACACACCTGACCTGCTGGACCACCTGCCCGCGCTGCAGTCGCTGCTGCACCGACTCATGGGCTGCCAAGTACGCTCCCGCCTTCCCCCGCTTTCCTCTCCCGCTTCTAACTCCATTCCCCACTCCGTCCTCCTTTTGCTTTCTGCCCCCTCCTTGTGCGCTTGCATTGCCCTCGCTCGCTGTCCCTCTCAAGGCACTGCTGCTTGTGCATGCGAGGTTTATTCAACTGCCGCCCACGTCTGACTGCCCTCCTTCCTGCTCCTACTCATCACGGCATGTCACTACCACTCTCTTGCATGTGCGCCGTTGCTTCCTGCCTCCTTTTATCCCCGAACCCCGTTGTTGTGCCCGCGTGTGCCTGTGGCAGCCAGAGGGAGCAGCAGCGGGCAGCTTCGTCATCCAAGCAGCACTCGGCCTGGTCAGTGCTGCCATACCATCCCAACCCAACCACCCGTTCGCACCACTCTTCCCCCCTCTCCCTCTCTCGCTCCGTTTTCTCTCTCCCTCTCTATTGCTCTCTCCTCTCCCCGTTCCCCTTTTCCCGTCTCTGCACCCCTCCTCCGCCTTCATTATGCCTATTTCCTTGCTTGCATGAACTTGCAACCATGGCCTTTGACTCCCCCCACCCCTGGCTGGCATTGGTCTCAATCTCTTCTCTCTTCCTGCTCGCTGCACTCTGGTTGTGCGGCACGGCATGGTATGGCATTTCATGGCATGGGGTTGAATTGCATGGCATGGCATGGCATGGCATGGCATGGCATGGCATGGCATGGCATGGCATGGCATGGCATGGCATGGCATGGCATGGCATGGCATGGCATGGCATGGCTTGGCTTGGCTTGGCATGGCATGGTGCAGGTGGTGAAGGAGAGCTTCAAGCTGTACCGTGCCATCAACGACGGCATCATCAACCTCGTTGACAAGGTGCGGTACCCCTGTACACCACTCCCCACCACACCACACGACACTCTACTCTATCACATGCACGCTGGCTGTACTGTGGCAACAAAAGGGAAGGACGCAATAGCGTTCAAGTGAGTTAGTGGCAAGAGAAACTGTGGAAGCAGGGTGGTGGAAGGAGAAGATGGCACTTTAGGGTGTATGACAAGGGTTCTATCTCTGGCGCAACATGCATGGAACTGGTGTTCTCAATAAGGTATCTCCCGGGCACTGTGTCAGTTTTCTCTGAAAAGAGCAGATTTGAATACATGCGAATGATTCTAGATTGTCGAGTTACGATTATGTACACGAACCAATTATTTGTGCCTATCTATGGTGTCAAAACAATGGAGTAGTTGTTCAGTAGCAGAAAACAGTTTACCAAAAATCAAGGTTGACATGGTTGATGAGAGGAAACGAACAGGTCTGTGTTTGGTGTTCATACGGTAACATGGCAAATACGTATTCGTGTACACTGCCTTGCATCAGTGTGCCAGTGTGCTGAGGTAGTCGGGCTGTGCCACGTGGCAAACCCGTTGGTGACCATGTGTGGCTTGTGGGTATGGGATGGCATGGGATTCACAAGCAGTGGGAAACTGGAAGCAAGGAGCGAGGTGGGGTTGGCTTATGGGTATGGTATGGCATGCATGCATGTGGCCACCGAGTGATGCATTCACCCCACTCCACACCCCCTTGCGGCTACAGGTGCAGCCTCACTTTACATGCATCACCATTGTTCCCCACGACATCCTCCCCTCCTCCTCCCTGCCCACCCCCCTCCCCTGCACGTTTGTGTGCGCCCGTGCATGCAGTTCTTTGAGATGTCGCGAGTGGATGCTGCCAAGGCTCTTGCCATTTACAAGCGAGCGGGCGAGCAGGTGCGTGTGTGTATGTGTGCATGGGCTTGCATGTGGGTTGACGTGAGGTTGTTGCGTGTGCACGCGAGCACAGAGGGAGAGGCGTTATGACTGATCCACCACTCTCCGCACACCCCATTTGCTCTTCCTCGTATTGGGCCCACCATCACGCCACACACTCACACCACTCGCCACCCACGCCCACCACCCTTAACCCCTCCTCCACATGTTCTCACCCCTCTTCCACCACCCATCTCTCTCCCCTTCTCTCCCCCCCATGTGCCGCACGGCTGTGAGAGCAGGCGGACCGCCTTTCATCATTCTACGACATGTGCAAGGGCCTCGACCTCTCCAGAAGCTTCCAGTTCCCCACACTCGACCAGGTGCCCCTGCCCGCCTTCCCTCCCGCCTGCCCTCTTCTCTTCGCTCCTGCACCCCGCCTTGTGCCGTTCTTGCTTGCCCTTGCACCTCCCCTCACCCACCACCCGCCGTCTCTTTCAGCATGCCCCTTCTGGCCCCAGCCTCCTATACTCCCCTTGTCCCCTTGCTATCTGCTACTGACTACTTGCCTCTCCTCCACTCTCAGCCCCAACCTTCCCCTCCCCCCCCCGCCTCCCCCCTTCTCCTCTTGTTCTGTCCGCGTCTCGCCATGCATCTGTAACGCAGCCGTTCCCGCATCACGCCTCTCCGCTCACCATCTCTTCCCATCTCGCGCCCCACCTATCCCTCCCTCCCCCCGTCCTCCCCTGCTCCATCCCCCGTGCCTGGTACCTGCAGCCGCCACAGTCGTTCCTGACGACCATGGAAGAGTACGTGAGAGAGGCTCCTCGCTCCGGAGGCATGCCCGCAGAGTCCCACGCGGTCAGTGCCTGCCCTCCCTCTCTCTCCTGCTCCTGCCCCTCCCTCCCTCCGTTCTCGCTCTCTCCTCTTTCCTGCTGTGTGTGTTTTGAACACCTGCATGTGCCCAGCTCCGGAGGTACAAACCTCTGCTGTGATGCTGAGACTTGCATCATGCTGCTGCTCTCCTCACCTGAGCTGTTTCCGCTTGCTGTGTGTGCCCCCTCTTTTCGTGTGCCCGTCCTGCTGCCCTGTCTCTTTCACTTTCTCCGTGCCCACCAGTCGCACTCAGAGAGCGCCAGTCACAAGACACCGGGGACGGAGAGGAGGGAGAGGAGGGAGGCGAGGCGGAGGGAGGAGGAGGAAGCACCACCGCCCCCTGCCCCTCCGGAACCCGAACCTGCACCTCCCCCACCGCCCCCTCCCCTGCTCAAGACCTCCTAGTGGTGAGTCATCTGCGTCTGCTTTTCCTGCCTCCTCTCTCCCTCCCCCACCTCCTCTCTGCTCCCTTATCTCCTCCCTTCTTGAGTTCCACATTCTGCTGCACTGTATGCCACCAGCGGGCCTCACAACAGCAAGGCTCGCCACTCCTTCAACACCCTCTCCTCTCCCCTCCACCGCTCCAACTGCGCATCATTAATCCTCCCTCGTCACCCCTCGCTGTGCCCCACCCGTCCCCCCCTCGCTGTGTTTCCCCCCTCTCCCCCCCCCCCCCCCCTCTCCACCCCCCCCCTTCCCCTCTTCCCCTCGCTGTGTTTCCCTCCTCTCCCCCTCTTCCCCTTCTCTCTTTCCCCTTCCCCCTGCGTGCCCATAGGACGTGGCGGAGGAGGTGGTGGCAGCGCCCCCCGATGCAGCAGCCATCGAGCAGCAGAACGCCCTCGCACTCGCCATCGTGCCCGGAGGTAACCGCTCGTGCTCGCTTGCACACTCGCCCACATGCACGCTTGCCCACCTGCACGCTTTCTCGCGCCCCCCCACACCACCCCCCCTCCCTCTTTCACCCGTGCGCGCTCTCGTTCTTCCCTGTCTGTGGGGGCTATGAGAGACGCGGTTTGTGTGCGTCACTGCGACCACATAATGCCTGCCCTCCCTGCTGCGCCCTGTACTGCCATTCCTCTGTCACGGCTGCACGGAAACAGTTATCCACGGCGGAGTGGGTGAGGACGAGTGTGGTGGGCGCAGGACTCACGTCATGAAGACTGAGGCAGGATGGTTTGCAGGACTCACTTGCATTGTGCTGCGCACGCATGGGTGTGTTGTGACGAGTCTGCCATGCCGCAGTCTCACCCCCACTGGTTGCGACACCACTGCTCCTTCCCAGCTCTCTTCCCAGCTCCCTTCACTCCACTGTCTGTCCAACGGTACTAATTTTCTTCTCCATCTCTCCCTCCCCCTCTTGCCGCCTTGCTGCCAGACGGAGCCCCTGCGAGTGCGGCACTGCCGGATGGCAGCACGGGGTGGGAGCTGGCGCTCGTCGCTGCACCCTCCTCCACTGCCGTCGCTGCTCCCAACCCCAACGTCAACTCCAACCTGGTACCCTCCCTGCCAATCCAATCCCCACTTGCTCTCCTTCCTCCTCGCTGCCGCCTCTCACTCATCCACACCCCCCCAACTCATCCCCTCACCATCCCCCCCTCTTCCCCCTTCCCCTCCCTCCACACCACCCCCATCCCGTGCAACTCCCCTCCCCGTGACCGTGCTTCCCAGGCGGGGGGCTTTGACAAGCTGACACTGGACTCGCTGTACGAGGACGCCATTCGTCGCTCCACCAACTCCTACCAGAACTCCTACGCCACCTCCGGCCCCGCCGGGCCCCCCTCCACCATGCTCGCGCTGCCCGCGCCCCCCGGGGCCTTCCAGGCCACAGGCCCCGCTGCACCTGGCATGCAGGGCCCTCACGATCCCTTCTCCGCCTCCCGCCACGTCCCCCCGCCTACCAACGTGCAGCTTGCTACCCTCGCGCACCAGCAGCAGCAGGCGGGAGGGGGGTTCGGCCCGGGAGGCGGCATGGGCATGGGCGGGATGCCGGGAGGGGGGTATCCTGGGAGTGCAGGGCAAGGCTTTGGTGGTGGGTACCCGATGGGTGGCGGGCCAGGGATGGGTATGGGCATGCAGGGAGGCATGGGGATGCAGGGTGGCATGGGCATGCAGGGTGGCATGGGCATGCAGGGCGGTATGGGCATGGGTATGGGTATGGGTGGTCCTGGTGGGCCCCCAGTGAATCCCTTTGCTAACCCATACGGCCCGCCCACTACATATGGCTCTGTGGGCATGCCCCCCCATGGTGCTGCTGCTGCTCCTGCTGGAGGTCCTGGAGGGTACCAGACAAACCCGTTTGGCAACCCCAGCCTGCTGTGAGGTGCGGATGGAGAGGGCCAGTGGTGTGAGGGAGAGAAGGCAAGTCGGGAGGAAGAGGTGGGGCGGTGAGGGCAGTGGCAGCTGTGTTGGGAGACTTCATGCCTGCAGCAGAGAGGTATTGTGGGTGACGTGTGGCTGATGAGGCAATGCACTGCACCCTTCTGTTGTGATGAAATGGACAGGGAAGTCAACAAGTTACTGTAGAATGTGTTGGGGGCTCTGTCTGTAAGATTCCATAGGTTGCATGCTTGCATCTTGCCGGAGCTAAGTGTTTACGGTACAGTATCAGTTTCGGTTTCTATATGTGCACAGATGATTACCTAGCACAACTTCCTTACTGTAGTGCTCTCTTGTGTGAATAGTGTTTAGCATTGTAAGGTCTGACTGACTTGGGACTGTTGTATGGACTACACGTCGTTTTCAATGCCACTCACCATTGAGGGACGTGCGTGCATATGCTGTGCTGTGTGGTAGAAGTGACTGATTTTTATCTACCTCATGATCACATCTCACAATGTGCTGCACTAGCAGCCATGTATATGTATGCCATGCAGATAATTAGTGCTTGTAGCAAGAGTAGCCAGGTTGAAGGAACGGCAGGTGTGCTGCTGCTACCGTAGATGCAAACCCCATGGAAAGAAAAGGAGAGAGCAGTGTCAAACATTGCTGCTTCACAGAGCCGTTTCATCCAGCAACTACATCGAACGTTATTATGCCCCCACTGCTGCTCATTGCACGAATTGTGAAAGCTGGCACCACTATAAGACTAGACTAGAGACAGTTATCACCATCCATACAACGTAGGTTACTACATCAACGACGAACAGAACTCTTCAAACTGCCCTTATGCAAAAGCTCTTCACACCTCCTCGAGTTTCCACAGCTTATTCTTCTTGAACCGCGCCAGCTTCTTACTCTTCCCCATGAGCCAGTTGTTGTGCACAGTCACCACCCTCGCCTTCTCCTCCTCGTCCAATCGCCACCACGGCCCTTCCCGGGTCCCAGGCGGCATGTTGCTATCCCCTCTGAAAAACAACCACCCAGGAGGAAACAGCTTCTGCGGCAGCACTCCCACCAACGGCGCCGGACTCGTCTTTATCACATCGCTTATAGCCGCGCCGAGGTAAAACTGGTCGTTTTCGTTGCCGCGGATTCGCGGCGCATGAGCGATTTTCAGCGACCAGGCGTCGAGGACCAGATGACCGCCTGGGGAGCTCCGGAGGAACACAAACCCGCCGCACAGCTTCGCCGTCAGCACATTCGCAGACGCTCGCGCCATGGGGTACGTGCCCGTGGCGTTGAAATTGACGGAATCCGGCAGCTCTTTGACGCCCGCTACTCGTACCCTCTCACGGGGAACGCGTCTCCGTCGCTTCGGCTGTCGTGGATGGCTTGCGGGGATGGGATAGCGTGGACGAAGGGCAAAGGGTCCTTAATCCAGATGAAGTCCGAGTCGCAAATGAGGACATTAAAGCCCATGTTGAGGAGCGTGCGGATGTACGCGACCCGGCGGTACATCATCCGCTTAAAGCCAGCGGTAGCATAGGCCAGACTACCACTGCTACTGCTTCCGCTGCCGTTGCCAATGCTGCCGTTGGTGCTGCTGCCACCAGTGCTGCTCACACTACCATCGCTCCCCCCGCTGTCCGACAGCAAGCGCCTTGAGTGTAACAGTGCAGCAGCCGAATGCTGCCAACTGCAATGCAGGTGGGCGGAAGTCACTCGTAACAGTGCAGCAACACACTTCCAAGAACAGTGCAGGTGGGCGGAAGTCAAGCGCCACCTCACCTACAGTTCGGATTGGTCAAACGCCTCAACCTGCAGCTGGGCGACCAGATTCCGACACGCAGCCCAAGTCAATCCCACGCACGAAAATTACGAAACGCAGGACACCAAAGTTCCGACCGCTCGCCGACTTCGCCAACAACACCGACGAAATTACAGCCCCGTAACCAAGCTCGCCGGCCAATCCCGTACCGCAATAATTCTCTGAATTTCACGGCAGGTTCATTTCAAAGGGTTGGGTTACCATTGAGAAATTCAGAGAAAGTCGCGACTTGGGAGTGCGACTCGATGTTTGAATGTGCTCTATAAAATTGTACTCTGAAATTTGTGAAGTCATAATGCAATTTCCAGAAAATTCCAGAGAGCACTCTATACTCATTCTCCAAGCCTACTAAGGCTACTATCTCCCTGCCAGCAACGTTTCATTGAGCCTCCTTGCGCTTTACCGTCCGCCCGTTCCTCAGCGCCAACTTCTGCTTCCCCCGGGTGCGCGCCCTCCCCTCCCCCATCGCCTATTCCCGCGGCTCTCAATTCCGCAGCGCCTGCCTGCTCTATCTCGGGAACGTGCCACCGCAGCACCTGTCTCGGAAACTTCGTTGACAGCAGCTGGAAGCTCTCGGAATCTTCCGCGAACACAAGGAAGCGCCGCCCGTAACCCAGTTCGTCCGCGTACACGGCCCAGTTGAGCAGAAAGTCCGCGTACCCGATGTTTGTAACGAGCACCACCACCGTCCCGTTAACAGCCACGTCGCTCGCTATTGCTTGTAACGAATCACGAGATACATATCCCTCCTCGTCGAACTCAGGTCCCTGCTTGGCCTCACGGGAAACGTTCCCGTTCTCGCTATTAGCAGGTGCGCGGTTCGTAACATCCTCGCTGGACTCCTTCACATTGATGTGGGTCCGTTCGACTCGCACCTCGATATCGCCATTCTCGCCATTTCCGAAGCTGCTGCTGCTGCCTGGTTGCGGGGCCTCCCAAGGCTCACCACCAGCTTCGGCGGTATTGTCAAGCCTTGGTCCGCCTGAAGCTTGGAAGGATATAGGGGAGAGGCTGGGCTGTGCGAGGGTGACGGCGAGAGCTGCGAGGAGGACAATGTTTATCGCGCATGACGCTACCGCAAGGGGAAACGCAACGGAACTACTACTGTGAGTGAAATCAGAGCCCCCTTTCATCGATCCTTGGATCTTTGTGTGACTTACCGCCTTCTGATATTAAAGTCGTTTCGCCGCTGTACGAATGGCAAGGCTATCTTATACCAAGACCTGATATTCTGGGAAAGGACTCTGCTTGGTTGATAGCGCGAATCTCGTCATGTTTCGTTCTTAGTGGGATTGAGTGGGCGTGAGCAGACGAAATCGGGATTTTTCTCGAGTCTGGAGAATGGATTGCCCCAATAACGTGGACTGTTGCTGCTGTACAACGTGGAAAGCCGAGTCGCCTCTGTCATCGCTCTCGCCATCAACTTCGCTTTCTTTCATAGTTCTGTGCTGTATTCATTTTGAAGGTTGGGTTGGTTTGGGTTGGGTATGTGTGTATTCCATCGGGATTCGGGACGGCGAGCTGATCCACCCGTCACCTTCTACAACCGAGTCGCACGAGTGGTTCAACTTCAATCAGCTGAGCGCAAAACACGCTCCAATCGCCCCACGTTATTTCATAAACACACACTTCCTCCATTTCCAGAACAAGACCTACACCTTCCAGAAATATTACTTTTAGATAACTCAAATTATATTACTGGTTTACTATACAATGATGAGGATCACTTAAAATATTTGAAAGTAAAAGACTTCTACATACTGTATACAGCCATTGAACTAAGCATTCAGGCTTGCTGCACACTGGAAGCTAGAATGTTCATCTGTCTAGGAATTTGACAGCCAATATACATGCATTATGGCACCTAGTATATATTACAAGATTGCACAGAGCTACCAATCTAAGAGTCACACTCATGTAGCTATGCGAAACTCTTCTGTTCTGTACTTCCACAGATAAATATCACATGTGCTTGCTTCTGCGGCGCCAGCAGAATCAAGCCCTAGAAGGAGGTCTTGCTGCTGCCTTGGTGGTGCTGTCAGAATTCCTCCTCCCTCTGCACTTCACAGCCGGCTCTTCCTCCTGCTGCTGCCTCGTGCTGCTTGCTGTGGGCTTCTGGTGGGCTAGAGCACCCCCACGTGCATTCCATGCCTTCCCCTTCACACCACCCACCTTCACACACGCTCCTGTGCTGTCTACATTGGGAATCCACCAGGGCAGCACCACTCTCAGCAGCGGCAGCAGCAGTGACGCGAGCAGCAAGTGCAGCTGCAGCAACAGCAGCAGCGAGTGCAGCAGCAGCACAAGGGAGGCTGGCAGTGCGATGGAGCTCGCGTCACCACTGTACCTCCTCACGTGCTTGTCACAACTCATGTCGTTACTCTTGCTGACAGAAAACCTGACAGAAACCGTCTCCTTGCTGTCGTTGCTGCCAGCGCTCGTTTGGTCGCAGTCACTGCTCAGATCCTCCTCCGTCTCCTCCTCCTCTGCAGCAGGCGCGGAGCTCAGCGTCACTTGCAGCTTGGTCGATTCACAAGTCGAGATCTCCTCGGAAATCGCCTGGTAAGTCGACTCCGAAGGCGACTCAAAAGTGGACTTCACCGTCCCTTCAACTTCAACAGTTGGCTCACAAGGCGCCGCGCATGCAGTCGCGGAGCTCAGCGGCAGGTCAACTTTCGCGCGGGACTGCGCAACCTCGTCGCGCTTCCTCCAGATGCTCAGGACTTCCGCGAACGACGGGTGCTCAGCTGACGACGAGGAGCATGCACTCGCGGGAGCGACAGCCATCCGAGTTAGATCACTCGAGGATACCGACGGGCCTGCCGAAACTGAGCGGTAGAACTAGCAGAGACGATTTTTGAGGGAACACTGCTTGCTGATGCAGCCTCGGGTGCAAAGCTAGAAGTACCGGAGAGAGCTGAAAGCTTAGGATGTACTGATTTGGCAAGGATAGTAATGCTGCAGCTGTGGGAGCTGGCTCGAGAGTAACGAGATAGTACGAAACTGGCGATCAAGGTCAGCTGGGGAGTTTAAACCGAAGAAGAGAGACCGACGAATGAGGGTGAGTAGAGGGAGTGCGGATTTGAACTCGGAGAGGCGATCGCAGGCGACGGGGGGAGAGCGAGAGGGTTGCTGCGACAAGGCGGGGTGGAGGAGAGGCGGGGATCTGCGCACTGTCGGTCGGCTTGGGAACGAGGCTATTTCCGAGGTAGTGCCAAGCCTCTGGACGAGGCCTCCGGAGATGAGACAGATCGGTTGAGTCCGGTTGCTTGCCTTGATTAGACGGTGAGGCTCGTACTTTCGAGACAAACCTGCTGGCTAAGCGATTTTGCAGGAAGGAGTTGCCAAGCGATTCGCACTGGGAACTCATGCGGCGGGCAGGCACGGGTAGAACGAACTTGTGCGCTGTCGGTGTGCGGACTCGCATGTGGTTTCGCGAAACGCCAAGGGGAACGAAGCTATTTCCGAAGCTATCTGGCCGTGGCCACCGGGGACCTTACAGAGCGGTGCAGTCCGGTGGCTTGCCTTTAGCTGACGGTGTGGATGGTCCATTTTGACCAAACCTGCTGGCTAAGCGATTTCGCCGGGAGGAGCTGCGACGCGAAGAAAGGATTTTCATACCTGCCCCCGCTGCCTGTGGCGGTCTGCGTGTGCGAAGGCGAAAGCGGCTTTGGGACTCGTGAGGGCACTAAACGTATGCGAAACGCGTTTACGCCGATGAATTCGCGTCTGGTTACTATTCGTGGATCATCTGCTTCGAAATGGCCGGAAGTGGCCGCCAGGAAGTCATGTTGAAGCGACCCCTACGGCAGTGTCTAGGAAAACCGTGATCGAGATTGGCTCCGAATTGAAAACCATGAGGGGGGGATGAACTCGAGATGGGGGGTAAAGAATCTTTACTCGCTGTAGTTTGTCTCTGTATTAAACTCGTGAAATATTAACATCTGAATGTGAACCACACCAAGAACATAACTGCGTGCTAACATGTATTTCACTCGAGGTGAAACATCTATGTGTCTTCATTTTTTCAAGCTGGAAAATCATATCACAAGTTGTGTCACAACGGTCAAGCCGTTCCCTTTGTATCAAGTAGTCACGCAGTACACCAATCATATATTACAGCCACGTTGTTCTACACCTTTATTGAGCAGTTGAGACCAGGCAGGCAGCATTTGACTTGACAGCTGCACATGTCCTGCCACCTTTATCCCACCACATACAACCACACCCACATTCTAGCAGCTGACAGGAGCAGCACCACTAAGTCTACCGTCGTTTCATAGCTACCAGCATTACGGTATGTCCTGTCACCTGTCTCCTGTTCCTTCTCCAAGCCTCCAGCTGCCTCCCCTCTCTTCCTCCATCCCTATATGAGATCACATCAGATCTGATTCCCTCACCCACCCGCGGAGCCCATATGAGAAGGCAGCAGCAGCATCGGCCCGTTGCTTGATGAGGTCTGCTCGTTGGCTCTTCCTCATTGCCTCCACCAGCCACGTCACTCCCTCCCTCACCCCCGTGCTGCACACACACACATTGCCATGCACACATGGTTGTGGATGCAGTCAGTCAGACACACTCCCCGTGCTGCACACACATTGCCAGTTCCAGGGCAGTCAAGAAACACCCCACCATGGTCGCCAACGATCTGACGAATCAACCTTTTGTCAAACTGCATCCGCACAAAGACGTACCAACCCGGGGAGGGAACTCACAGCGCATAAAGAGCCACTCAGGCCGCCTCCTCTTAAAGCTCCCCACCTCCCTCTCAATCCCTTCGTAACAACCACTTGCATTGCCCAAACACACCCTCAGCTGTTCCCACACCAACATCGCCTCGCTCACACATCGTACGCTTGTCTATTATCACACAACAACCCTAGCACACCCTCAGCATTGCCCCCCTTCTCCCCTCCCACCCCCCCATCGCACCCATCATAGGCGCACACGGGCATGACCATGGCGGAGCGCCCTTTGAGGTCCCTCAGCTCAGCTCCAGGCAGTGAGTCAAGTCCTCCTCGCCCACTGCCCAGGGTAGGTCCTGTGGGGTGGCGGCTAGAGGGAGGTGGGAGCGGGAGGTGTGGCAGGGAGGTGAGACTGTGAACGGCGTAAAAAGCAGGGGGAGGGCCAGAGGGAGGTGGGGGGGGGGAAGACAGGTAGCACAGAGATGGGGCATTTGAGAGGAGTGGCCCCTTGAGGTCCCACTGCCTCTGGTTGGTCCTGTGGGGTGACCAAAGGGGGGGGTTGGGAGGGGGAGGTGGGCAAGGGGGTGGGAGGGAGGTGCGGGTGAGGTGGGAGAGAGGTGTGATCGAGGTGTGAGTGGCGGCCTCTGGTAGGTCTCTGGTAGGAACTGTGGGGTGGCGGCCAGAGGAAGATGGGAGGGACGAGAGACGGGAAGGTGAGACGGGGAGGTGAGACGGGGAGATGAGAGCCATGCCTCTTCACCTCCCACATACCTCCCACCATTCCGTGCCTTCCCAACCTTCCCCAACCCTCCTTCCCTCCCCACTCCTCCCACCAAGCACCGCACCGCACACACACACCTGCTTGTTGGCAAAGATCAAGATGGGAGCTCCAACCAGGTCCAACCAGGTCCAACCAAGCTCCAACCAGGTCCAACCAGGTCCAACCAGGTCCAACCAGGTCCAACCAGGTCCAACCAGGTCCAACCAGGTCCAACCAGGTCCAACCAGGTCCAACCAGCTCCAACCAGGTCCAACCAGGTCCAACCAGGTCCTCATGTCTCAACACCTTCTCTGGCGGGGAGAAATGGGGACGCACGAGAGGGAGATAAGCACGGGGATGAGGCAAAGGAGTGACAGAGTGGGTGTGACAGAGTGGGTGTGACAGAGTGGGTGTGACAGAGTGGGTGTGACAGAGTGGGTGTGACACTTGAGAACGTGACCCACCACGCATCTAGTACACCCCTGATCCCCCCTTCTCCCTCCCCCCATATCCCCTTTCTACCCCCGTCAGCTCTTTCCTCGTTCCCCATGCCATCCTCAATCCACACGCCATGAACCTATCCCACTTCATCCCTCCTCTTCTGGCCGCCCATGCCCTAGAAGATCAGCCCAACCATTTAAACCTGACACACACCCCACACACTCCCCACACACTCCCCACACACTCCCCACCAACTCCCCACCAACTCCCCAGCAACTCCCCAACAACTCCCCAGCAACTCCCCAACAACTCCCCACCAACTCCCCAACAACTCCCCAGCAACTCCCCAACAACTCCCCACCAACTCCCCACCAACTCCCCAACAACTCCCCACCAACTCCCCACCAACTCCCCACCAACTCCCCACCAACTCCCCACCAACTCACCAGCAGACAAGCACTGAGCGAGCGTCGTGGAATCTGTCGGGGCAGGCAGAGCACACCACGCAGATCAACTCCCCTGCAGAGCAGCCCTACCTGCATGCACGCGCGGGGAGGAGGGATGGGGGAGGGACAGGGGAAGGAACGGGGGAGGGAAGGGGAAGGGATGGGGGAGGGAAGGGGAAGGGACAGGGGAGAGAAGGGGAAGGGATGGGGGAGGGAAGGACAAGGGATGGGGGAGGGAAGGGGAAGGGATGAGGGGTTGGGAGGCACAAGACGGACGAGGGAAAGAGTTGGACAGACGGAGGAGAGGAGGAGAGGGAACGGAGTAAGGGTGAGGAAAAGATTACGTGAGCATGCCTAGTGTGATAGGCCGTGAGCCACCACGCATCTATTACTCCCTTGATCCCCCCTCCTCCCTCCCCCCACACTCTACACCCTCTCAACCCCCCCCGTCAGCTCGTCCCTCTCTGCCCGTGCCACCCTCGCTCTTCCTTCTCCCTGAACCCCCTCCCCCCCCTTTTCTCCAACCTCCCTCGATCTACAATCCCCAATCTACACTTCACCCATTCTCGCTCTCCACTTTCCCTCCCCCCATCCATCCCTCCCCCTCTCACCCCCGCACACCTGGCCGTCCAGATCCCTCCTCGTAGTGCTCTCCCATATCGTGCGCAGCCCTATCCGCATGGGGATAGGGGGAAGGCACAGGGGGGGAGGAACGGGGAATGACCGAGGAAGGGAGAAGGCGGAGGGGAAGGGAAGGGGGTGGGGGAATAGGTTGAAAAGAATATTATGTTCTGTAGAGATAATGTACAGGGAAGGGGGGACGGGGCAGCCTGTTGTGGAGATAATGTATCCAGGGCTCCTCTACTCTCCTCCCACCACCCTTCCCCCCCCTCTCTCTCTCCTCTCTCTCCCCATGTCAGCTCTTACCCCTTCCCCCTCCCACCCTCGCTCTCACACCACACGCCAATCACCTCCCTCACTCGTTCTCTCACTTCTCTCCTCTTCCAGGTCACTCGCACCGCAACTGGCCGCTCAGGTCGGATATGAAGCACACAACCCTCACACTCAGCTCAGCACTCTTCTTCTTTCTCCCCTCTTCTCACCCTCTCAGCTGCCTTCGCCTCCGTTCGCCCCCTCAGCAAAGGGCGTAGAAAGGCAAACCAAGGATAAGTCACTGGTGCTCTGATGCGCTTCTTTCGCCACCGTTGCCGCATCTGACTTCGTGGAGCGTTGACTCTGCGCAGCACGCGAAAAAAGCTCCCTACCGATCGCAGAACAGAGCCAAAACACATCGCGCTGAACTCCAAAATGTGCAGAAGAAAATCGTTACCCTGCCGATGCGCTGGGGGCACCATCCTTGCCCCTCTGGAGATCCTCGCACAGCTGCCGCTTTCCAGTTCTTAACGAACCAACTCCGAACGCCATGGCGAAGAAAGAAGGTACTTCGTATACCTT